TTTTCATAGTCTGGCCTGGCTTGATCTGATCCTCCTGCTTTAGCCTCCTGAACAGCTGATATTACAGGTTTGTACTACTGTGCCTGGCTACCAAAAACTCTTTAAAATGACAACAAAGGAAATGAAATAATAAAATTTTAATATAAACTGCATTTATTACTTACTCTCTCAACAAACATGTATTAAGTATTGTCTTTGTGTTGGGTAGGTACTGTGATAGGTATATGGATATATAAAAATTAAAAGCCAAAGTGCTTGCTTTTAAGAATCCCTAAAAGTAGGGGCTGGAATTGTGGCTCAGCAGTAGAGCGCCTAGCACATGCGAGGCCCTGGGTTCGATCCTCAGCACCACTAAAAATAAAGATATTGTGTCCAACTTCAACTAAAAAAAAATAAATATTTTTTAAAAATCTCTAAAAATAGGTGAAGAATGACCTATCAGCCTGTATCAGGAACATAAGGAAAAATAAGGCAATAATTTGGCCTGCCCTAATGCTTGTGAGGCCTAGACAAAGAATACAAATGCAGGTCCCTGCATGTCCTCCTCTTCAACCTCTAGCTCTGGTCTATAACATCAAGGGCTTTGCATGTATGTGTATGTAGCTATGGGTCCAGGCTTTACCTAAGCTCCAGCTGTTCCCTTTCAAACATCTGTCCCTTAGCTACCCCTAGGGCCTAGACATACACACTAAGGATTCAGTCTACCCTTGGAAAAATTGGTCTGGGAAAGCAGCCTAATGCAGGAATTTGTGGGGTCTTGTGTAACGGCTAGCACAGACTAGAAGGAGGTGAACAGGGCAGGTGTATCTCCTTGGTCTTATAAACTCCTCACCCCTCAAAGAATGATGAGCCTAAAGAAAAGCCACAGTGGGGCACCTGCAGGCATGGAGTCCAAGACAGGGACTATGGCATAATTTTAAGGTGGTACTAGCAATAATAGTGGGGAGATGAAGGTAGCGGTTGTTTGCCAAACTGTTAAACTGATGTTACATCATTATGGCCATGGAAATGACTAGATATTGGGAAGGGAGGCATCCATAATTCTGTAAACATGTC